GGAAAAAGTTTCGTTTGAACATAGATAGATGAGATAGTTTTGGTATTTTTCTTTATTTTTTGGGTATTTTGCCACCTGTGAAAAAATTTGAAGAATTTGTGAAAAAAACCCTTGCGCCAAATGGATCAATCAAGGGCTATTTTTATGAAAGAAGTTCTGCCTAACAAAAAAATTTCTGACTAAAAACAGCAGACAAACAGAAAATACAAAAACACATCACTTATATCGCGCATTTTAAAAACCTGGACATAAACGATCTTTTTTTAACTTAATGGGGCTGCAAACAGATTTCTCCCATTTTGTAACTTGATTTGACCTTCAAAGAACCTTCAAGCTTGATCTCTAGGTCATGGTCAAGGTTATCATCGTATGATCCCATCAACCATAAAACTTTCAACCAGAATCCGTCGTCATAAGTGCTTTCCCGGAAAATATCGGGAAATCTTATTCAGAACCTTAGTTTACCATAAAATAACCCTTTAGGGTCACTCTGATTCTTAATACAAAGACATCTGAACGCAAAATTTTCCGCTCTATCCATTTTCGGTGTGAAAAATACATCTATTATATCTAAAAATCCAAATTGACCCGTAAAAATGACCTCTACGGTTGACCAAGGTCACTATCGAATGCCCCCCTCAGATCCCTACAACTTTTGTCTAAATAGTTTCGCCTGAAAGTGCTTCTCTAAGAAGATATTACAATGGGTTATTTAAAATAGGACACCGTGTATATAGGAATATATTTTAGGTTTCATATATCAAAACTATAATTTATAATTAATAGCGATAGCTTCACAAAGAAAATCTACTAGATTAATACTCTCTAAGTTCAATGCTTTCATATAAGTGTAGGTAATTTATGAAGTGCAGTAGAAAATTATTTTCCAAGAAAATGCATAATTACTTAAACGTGTAATTTAAAAAATGATAATTTTAATTTATTATATTTTTAAGATTACAAATTACCAGTCAATTTAGAAAAACGATCTAATTATCCAAATGAAATTTAATACCAACTCAAAAAACATTAATGCGATAAATATTTGTTTGCATACCCACTGCTTGTTTTTAAAAGACAATTTTTGTACCTAATCATATTTGGTGCTAATAAACTGGAAACCAGCGGAGTAATGTATAAATGATACTAACGATAATATTAATTTACTATTAGAAAATTGAGAACGAATTCAAGGATTTATAATTAGCAGGGAAAAAAGATATACAATGCTTATATACAGGGTGGTCCCGAGGTAATGGGCCAAAATTCATGGGTATATTCCCCACGCAAAAATATTGCGATTTAGCCGAACTTACCTTAGTCCAAATGTTGATAGTTGAAGAGATACAGGGTGTTAAATGTAAAATATTATTTCGGTTTTTTTTTCATTTATTCTTTAACAAATGCAAATATCCTCACAAAATTTTGGATTGTAGAGTTCTTTGGGTAGAGGAATTCTAATCTGTTCACATTTTGGTTAAAGATCATAGAGAGCACTAGCTGTAGTAGATTGAACGTGATGAAAACGACATAACTTTTTTTTACTTTAAGGTATCTCATCTTTGGCACCAAATTCCTATTTTCCAACTTTTTTTACACAAAAAGGCATACTTTATGAAAGTAGCTATCTCGCACCGTTTTCGAGATATTTGGCTTTGAAGCTTCCAATGCTGTTGCATTAAATTACAAATAATTACCTACAGGTATTATTAATTTAGCGCTAAGGTTTCTTAAATATGATTTGAACCAAAATAAAATAATTGACGTTTTCCTCTTGTCTTATAAGTTTTATTCGTACCTAATTAAAATTACATCTTAGCTTACAATTTAAATTGTATACTCGTATACATAAATGTCAGATAGAATGCCGAGATTTTCGTTTTTGGAGTTACATGAAATTAACTGTTTATGGAGAAACTATAAACACCTGAGAAGAACTTTAGCAGCAGGTTTTAAATGCTGCAAAGTCATTTCACATTAAGGATTGATACTTTAAAATAAGACAATATTTTAATAAACGCGTTGATAAATGTATTGAAGTTATAAGTGGACATTTTGAGCAATTATTGTCAAAAAGGTATATATTTTACTAATGTTTACTATTTTAATGTTCATTACAATTTTTAATTCTAAATAAATCCTTGTTTTTGACATTTCTAAATTATTTTAATTATTTCAACTATTAGCATTGGAAGTTTCAAAGCCAAATATCTCGGAAACGGTGCGAGGCAGCTACTTGCATAAAATATACCTTTTTTGTGTAAAAAAAGTTGGAAAATAAGAATTTGATACCAAAGATGAGATATCTTAAAGTACAAAAAAGTTTTGTCGTTTTCAACACATTCAATCTACGGCAGCTGGCGCCCTCTATGATCAATAACCAACACGTGAACAAATTTCAATTCCTCTACCCAAAGAACCCCAAACCCCAAAATTTTGTGTAGATATTTGCATTTTTTAAGAAATAGATGGAAATAAACTAAAATAATATTTTACATTTAACACCCTGTATCTCTTTAACTATCAACTTTTGGACTAAGGTAAGTTCGGCTAAATCGCAATATTTTTGCTTCGGGAACCTATCCATGAATTTTGGCCCATTGCCTCGGGATCACCTTGTATATTATTATTCTACAAAATTTAAAAATTTTGGATGAATATGACATTATAGAAAAATAAAACAGATTTTAAGAAATAATAATTTTATTAAACAGGGTCCAATGTTTAATACTCGAAAAAATTATTAATTGGAATCAGAAATTCATAATTAAAACCACTTCCATATTTTACTGATATTTTAATTTTGACATGTCTTTAGAATACAATAAATTATATTCGGTAAATAAATGTGACGCCAAAAATCATCTTCATACTCCTTTGGTTTCCTAGAAATGTAAATATAGAAGTGGTCGAGGGGTTGTGATTTATAGGTGCTTCTACTCTTTTCTGAGGATAAAAATACAGTCGAAGGAATGCGAATGAAGAGCTGTGATACCAATAAAAATCAAATCCAGCATATATGTTTTCATTTTTAATATTTACTTGCAAATTAAAATAGCACAAAAATTTATGAGATTATTTTGCATGCCGTAGAAAGAAGATAATTTTAAGTTTATATCGTAATTGTGCAAACTAATAATTATTAAAAGTTTTACAATTTTCGAGATAAAATGTGCAGACGAATGATAGAGAGAGAGGAAGAGATAGGTTGGGTACTATCTTTCTCTCCCACGCAGGCACGTGATTGGCTAACGCAACTCCTTCCTTAGATTAGAAAGAGAGAGCGAGTACCCAAACTGTCGCCCTTTCGTAGTCGTGCTTTATCAAATATTTCGGCACTACTATTAGTCGCAATTTTTTAATATTTGAGAAGAGAATACGGCATTGAGAAACAGTCATAAAAATAACCGTACAAGTTCATATGACATTTTTTAGAAAGCTCAATGTTAACGGAGTAAGATGTCTTCAAATTATTTTTTTTTTAATTCATATTTTGCTGTAATCCTTTTTTCATTTAAGCTAGTCATTTCTAAATTTAGTACACTTATTATTGGCAAACAAACTACACTTTAAAAAAGGTTTAAATTGCCTTTATTGACTTTGAAATCCACCAATGTATATATTTGCAAATTTTCGAATAATTAAGTAACGTAATACTAAAAACCATCTGAACATCTTACCGCTTACATAAACTTGTTTGAAACATATAGACCAAGCAAATTAAATTTTTACTCAAAAAAAGTCCTATCCGCGAGATTATTGTAAAATTGGAACATAATACAAGACATCTCTCGTCTCGTGAGTCAAAAACTTTTATTAGCTAACTTTTCTATTTAAACAAATAAGTGAGGAAAACAGTTTTTGCACTTTGCAGGGAAAACCATCAATTTTAGCGAAAAGTGACTCACAGACAGCTTATAGGGAATAAAATTATCTACAAAATGAGACTTGTTAAATTAAAATCGGTTAATAAACAAAAAAGTTATTGCAAAAAAACAAGAAAAGTGCCCATTTTTTAATTTGTTTATAACTATCGCATTTATTGTTAAAATTTTATAAAACCTATGACAAGTTAAAGGTTTTGTCATACTTTAAAAGTGTGCCAAAAGTGGGCGCTGTAGATGCAATAGTTTTCGCACAATTCTATTTGTTTATAGCAGAGGCTCCAAAAGTTATGAACTTTAAGCCTCTGTACAGGCGTTAATTTTCAATCAAACATGATTCTGAAAGCGTCATTGTAATCTTAAAGACGCAATTAAGCGATCTATTAAAAAATATCACCGTTTTTTTGACATTAACATTCTCAAATTGTTTTTTCGAGTTTCTCTTTTATTTTCGCTAATTTTCCTGGTGTTTACCACATGGGGGATAGAGGACACACAACCACATTTAATGAGAACTGTTTAAAATTGTCGTATTAGATATGCTCTGTATCTATTGTGCTCTTTACTTGCTATATAATTTTAGTATTTTCTCTGTTTATTTGGGTACATAAAATATATATCATATGATATGTCTAGCTATAGAAGCAAATAAACAAACAAAAGTTAAGCTACCAAAATTTTTAAAAATAAATGGAACGAGTTTTGGTCAGGCTAAAATAGTGTGATTACTTCTTTTAGCGCAAGAGTTTATTTCGCGGTTTATTTAATTAATTCTTACGTTTCTTTTTACACTGGCGGAAAAATGATGGCAAAATACCCAGTTACACAGATAAAATGACATAATTAGCTCAGTACCTTTCAGAGAAACATAAAAGTGTAATATTAAATGTAGATAGTACGTTTTTTAATAATTCATAATTAGGATGAATGACTGCAATTCAGAATTTTTAATTCCCGATAGGTACATGGAAGAAAACTTTTATGTAATCCACATCATATCAGTGAGGTGAGAACACATTATAACGCTTAAGACGACTTATAAATAAAGATTTTCTCGAAAAGGCAAGAAGTAAAACACACTGAATTATTCAGTGCTTTAATCCCAACATTCATTACCATTTAATTTTTAACCCGGAAAGTGTTCCGATTAACACTGCATTAACATAATCACTTGCGCCACTACACTTTTCTCATTTTCACTAATATATTTTATTGCCGTTTAATACATAATTCGCCGATAACTGTCTTTTACGACCTAAAACTTTCAGCATAAGTGAAATGCTCGTTGGAACTAAGGCTAATGTTGTCAATGTTACACCGTTTCGCCTCGTGTGGTGTGAGAAGACACATGACTACGAGTTATTTTCGGAGAATTCGGAAGCGTAAATATGCATAACATTTGTCTTGGATAGAATGTTTTCATTTATAAATAGGTGCTAAATAGGAGTTTATAAATAAGGCGATACGGCTCGGATTTAACCTTAAAGCCCAAGGGATGTCTGAAATGTAACGAATTCCATGAAAAGAAATTCGGAATATTTAATCACGGCAAATCACAGGGGATAACTTTTAGGTGAAGTTAACGTCCTTCTATATATAGAGCCGAGAACAGTGAATACACCGACGTTTTATAGAACAAGGTAAGGTAATACTAAATTATACGATTTTTATTTCAAATCCTTTAAATTATTTACATAAAATCACATTTTATATTTCACTGAGGTATATAAAAAGTAAAGTGGATTTTAAGTGTTATCTATACTTTGAATAAAAAATTTCTGTGATTTCGTTTGAAACTTACAATTAGTTGATTTCAGTCTGTTTCAGTTAGCTCATTAATTTAGTGAGTTCTGCATACCTAATAATTTAAAGTATACGATTAATCTACTGCGTATTCTGTTTAAAGGGTTGGCTGCCTCTGTAACTTTTTCCATTGCTGATAAATATTGAGGAGTTTTGTAGATTGCGGATTGAGATTGAGGATTTTGGGGAACTTTTTGCGTGTAAATTCGTCGGAAGCATATTTCAATAATTTTAGCTAACTGCGGCCATTTTTTTTTGTGTAGAGATTAGAAAAGTATACTGTAAAAAAATTTTACTCAAATTTCACTCAATTTCACTCAATAATGTATCAATTTCTGTCCACACCCGATTGAGTGAAATTTTCACTCTATTAGTATGAGTACAACTGAGTGAACCTATTGCTTCAGAAATGAGTGAGTTTTACTGAAATCCGAGTTACTGCTAATTATTAATTGAGCGTATTTTGACTCTATTCTAAGTATATAAAACCAATTTAGAGTTGATTTTTTCTCTAATATGATTTAAATTTAACTATTATTGAGTCATTTTTTACTCAGACTTGGTTTTCAATTAACTAAATATTGAGTGCAAAAATAAATCACTCACAACTGATTAATTAGGATATACGGTGTTGAAATTAATACACTTCGCGGGGCCTCCTCCTATTCTGGCTGAGACCCGCCAGCTGAGAACCGCCAGCTGGGACCCGCCAGCTGAGACTCGCCAGCTAAGGCCTGTTCTCTTGGCGATCACACTTTCTGAAGCATCTAACGGGCCCCTATCAACTGTGGTCGAAATTACAGAAGCAATATGTAAGTGGTGCCATCTTCACGACGCCATTCAAATTACTCGAAATTAATGTACTCGTAGTACATTTAAACGGGCCATATAAATAGAAATTTGAAAATATCGAAAATATATCTAGATAGGACAATAATTAATTAATATTTGGTCTACTATTTAGAGGTACTATGGTGGTAGCCAGTGTTGGGCATTAATCAATTAAATTTTCAATCAATTAATTAATTGATTAAAAAAGTAATTGCGATTAATTTAATTGCAGTTAAAATTAATTGCAATTGAACTATTAATTGCACGTTGCAATTAATTTATTTGGATTAATCTATATTAATTCACCGTAAATTCTGAAGTAGTCAATGTTTATAAATGTCATACAGAGTGTTCACAAAAACGTACCAAATGTTATCTTTTTCAAGGGCGAAAATAAAGTTTACTATTTAGACATACTATGGTGGTTGCCAGTGTTGGGCATTAATTAATTAAATTTTCAATCAATTAATTAATTGATTAAAAAAGTAATTGCGATTAATTTAATTGCAGTTAAAATTAATTGCAATTGAACTATTAATTGCACGTTGCAATTAATTTATTTGGATTAATCTATATTAATTCACCGTAAATTCTGAAGTAGTCAATGTTTATAAATGTCATACAGAGTGTTCACAAAAACGTACCAAATGTTATCTTTTTCAAGGGCGAAAATAAAGTTTACTATTTAGACATACTATGGTGGTTGCCAGTGTTGGGCATTAATTAATTAAATTTTCAATCAATTAATTAATTGATTAAAAAAGTAATTGCGATTAATTTAATTGCAGTTAAAATTAATTGCAATTGAACTATTAATTGCACGTTGCAATTAATTNATACCATTTTTCACCCCTCTTCAACCCCCCAAATCAACCCTCCGCCGCCCCTGCTCACGCATTTATTTTTTTTACGTTTATTATAAGCCCCTTTACCATTTCCACTTATAAAAGTCCAGGTAACCATTTTTTTTTCTCTAAGTGTAATTTGGTTGGACTACTAAATCAGTTACAATTAACTTTATCAATTGTTCTAAAAAATAATTAAAACTAACATTTTTTCAATTCAACCCACCATTTCCGAGTTTTACTGTATTACGTGAGATACCTCATGTTTCCGAAATTTATTTTCAACATACGGACTTCGGACCTTTTGCATTCAACGCTAGGGTGTGGGGAGATTTTTCCAATTCTTTTTTTGATTCAACGCACTGTTTCTGAGTTATAACCACTTTTTTATTCTATGACATACACCCTTGGTCCTGTATTTTCTTTTTTTTTTCGACATGCGGACTTTGGACCTTTTGCACTCGATCACCAATTCCCCACCATGAGAGATTTTTTGACATTTCATGTCGTTTCCGAGGTACAAGCAAAAATTGTTTTTTTATATGTTGTGACGCCTCGCCCACTGAGCGCTCTACTCAGAACCGCGTTCTACCCCACGCCTCCCCTAATGGGACGATGGGAACAGACAAAGACAATGCATCTGGATTTGAAAAGAGTGGGATCATTCAGTAATGAGGACATTTTTACTTTGATTTAGGTTCCCGTGCACCAAATACGAGTTTTTGTGAATAATTTTTTTAAGGAGTACCTATATTTGAGTGAAAGTACTCAGTTTTAGTTTAAATATAATTATAAATGAGTAAAATGGTCAAAATGTCCAATATTGAGTGAAAATGAACTCAATAATTTCATTCAATAGATCCACTCCGAACCTTTATTGCTTTCACTCACACCGATTTTCTTACAGTGTACCTACCTACTATTAGAGAATATTTTAGAAAAGAATCCAACGGATCCACAAGTACTTTTATGTCTTTTCAATGGATATAAATAATTATAGAAAGTAACAAAAAAAAAGAGTTGCGCCATTGACCAGACCAGTGTTTCCTATAGAACTTTGACCTGAACCTGATAATCTCAAAACCCTATAACTCGGGACAAGCGAGAGTGTAGAACCATGGATCCCTGTCGGAACATAGATCTCATCCATTAGCGGTTCGAAACTAGACAACTATGGGTTGGCAGGCCTCTCTAACCCCATAATTCTGACTTTGGATTCAAAATTAACGGGTCAAAATACTAGTATAGGTTACACCAATCTGATATATACCAATACCAATTATACCAATTATACCAATCTGATAGCGCAGCAGTTTTTTCAGTGAAGATACAAAGAGAAAAAAACGAGTAACTTTGATACATAAATCTGTATGCCCCAGATCATGAGTCTACAGGTGCTTGCATGCCCCGAGTTAATAGACTACAGAATTAAAACACGACTACAGATTCAATATTATGAGGTCAGTTCACAGTCACGTAATTACTGATGTATCAGATCCACGTTCCCATAGAATTTCGTTTCCCACGCTGCTTCTAGTTCTACACTCTTACACATACCGGGTTATAAGTTATGGGATTATACATCTCATGGAGCTACGAAGTTATCGGGTCAGGGTGCAATGAGACCATGAATTCGAATCATTGAAGACTTAACACGTTTTGAGATCTCGAAAACTGCCTTCTAAAGGAGTGTTTTGATGTTAGGATCAAAACACGAACTGATCTGGAAATTCTGTCTTTAGATTAGGATTCAGCGGGGATTAAGGTATAATGGGAAACCCTAGTCTGGTCCACGATCCAACTACTTTTTGTGGTGCTATGTTGTTAATATCTCAGATAAAGCACTGCGATGTTAAATTAGCATTCTATGGAATTTTCAATTTTCATGACGAGTATGTTTGAAATGACCAAAATCTGCAGGCTGTTGAAATACCTAGATATCAACTACCCTTTAGTTAAATGAATTGAAACTCTGGAGACAAGTCAATAGGACCTTTTGCTTTGATTTACCACTTAAACGGTCTTACATATACACGCAATTTGGGAGACGTTTTATCGCCATTATTGCGACACCTTGTATTATGATGTAAAATATACAGGGTGTAAATAAAAAATTGCTGAAAAATTCAGGGGGTGATTCCCTGTGAAAAAATAAAGTGGGTCTTTCATATAAAAAAAATCTAATTTGAACATCCCCTGTTAAGATACAAGCGTTTAAAGAGTGTGAAAAAAGGTAGTTTTTAATTTTTTTCTGAAATACCAAAATAGTGACAGAAATGAAATTAAGTAAACATTTTCTGCTATCGAGAAGTCACGCAGTAAACAGTATGTTGGTTTTCCCCTATGGATGTAAGGGGTAGAAAATGACACCCCTAACAATTGTTTCATTCGTAATTTTTTTTTCTTATTACTATCTTATCATTTAAAAATTCATTTCAAATAGCCTTTATTCTAAATTAAAAAAGTATCTTATAATTTTGATTGTCAAATTTACTATTTCTGAGCAAAACATTTATTTACAATGCATAGTGTAGAAATACATAGCGTAGGGTAGAAATTTTGTCGAACTACAATTTATCTAGCAGGCGGCTTTCACTTTGACATTTTAAGAAATTACCATTAGCAAAACCGTCAAATGAAACGCATATCGGTCACTTCTACATTAGAGTACACCTCCGTCTTGATGAATTTGCAGAAAAAAAATCTCAAAACGATCACATCGTATCAGCAAATAACAATAACCGTAACCTTACTAACAATAATTAAGTTGTCATTACAAAATGTCAACGTG